CATCATCAACTTGAAACTGAATAATTTGATATGAAATAATTTACTTTTAAAAATAAGAAAAAAGCATTTGTGTGACTAATTTAACAAGTTAAATGCACAGCAACTGTAGCTACCTTCACCTGTGATCCAAATTATGATTAGAAGCAAGTGTTGCTATACAAGTAGATCTTCAGATCTGCTACTGGAGTTAGGAGTTTGTGTGTGAATTGCATGTTAAAAGAACTATCTTTGTTTAAAGATAACACCAGTTATACAGCTGAAACTTCCCCCCCCCCTTTTAAAATGCAGTTTTGTCATCAGTACATTTTAATTCCAATTTGAAAAACTGCCCTACAGTCCCAAACAGACCTTTCTTTAACATAACTTCTATAAAATAGTGCACCTACACTGTGGCTGAGATACTAACAAGTAAAATCAGAGTATTTTTTTAGTAAGAAAAACATCCAAGACTTTGACACAGAAAGATTCTGCAAATAAATACTGATCCTGGGTTTTATTAGGTAAGCTTCACACTAACAAAAAAAAAAGACATCTGAAGTTAAGTGGCTTTATAAATGTCATAGATATCTATACAGATAGCAGCTATCTTCCAAGTGAAAGCATCACTTAAAGGACTTGAACTGACTTCACTTAGCAGAACATGGAAAAGATTAAAATCAATTTAGCAAAACAATAAGGAGAGCCTGTACCTAGACTGAGAACCCTCTCACAAAAAATTGCTGCCAATAGGTGGACTTCTAAAGGTAAATGAAAGCATAATCTCTAGTCAGACTGCGTCACCATGTAGAAATACCTGAATTACTGTATGTAAAAGACTCCAGGAAAACGTCACAGCTATTCTATGAATCACAACCATAATAAACCTCAATACTTCGGGGATCAGCTTTCTTCAAAGTAGTAAACAATGCCACCAGTAAAATTGAATAGCATCTGAAAATGTTACTCCTGAGACAGTGTATTTCATTAAAAGCATTAATTGATTTCAGTGGTTTGTGCTTTAAGAAAATATTAAACACAGTAAGTACTTGAAGTGAAACATTGAAAGAAACTACGCACATGCTTTTTATAAACTGTTCTACAATACCTAGACAGAATCACGCAGTTCAGTAACACCCCAAGCCATCACCTAACTGGATTATCATTTAAACAGATGAGTCCTTATATAGAAAAGTAAGAGTTCTTTACTTATGAGATAGTACACTACCTTAAAATTGGAGTGAACCCTGTTGTTATAGAAAATTCCTAAAGGTGTAAGCTCTGACTTAGTTTCAATGGCTGAACCATAAGAATCTGCCATAGCAATCTTGTGAAACAAATACCATATTCCAGTGTCCTGTAAATAAGGAGAGAATAACATTACTTATAAGAGAGTCTGATACATCAGTGCTGATGTATTTACTTCTAATCACAAACTAACTGTATGTTAAATAAAACTTGGATATTTTAAGTAAGACAGCAGATACAAACATAGCCAAAATTAAATTTGCACAATGGAATGCATTTTCCAAAATAAATCCTCTGAACAACTGTCTGATGAGAAAGTAAAAATTTTCAAATAAGGCTGCATTCTAGTGAATAATATTCATTAAAAAATGTTTTGTTTTTCAGTGAAACCATGCAACTATATGTTTAAGATCCTCTAGTATTTCAAATCACAAAAAAGTGATAAGAGTTCACATAATTTTTGCATTTGAATTACATTTCTTCACACATACTTGGTTTCCTTTTGTTTACTAGTAAATGATGCAAATTACTGTAAAATATTCAAAAGCCCTTTCTCTTCTTACTGCTATAGTCTGACTAAGGTTTGTTCATTTCTTCTCACTTCAGAATTTAATGATGCAGCCAAAAACACCCACAAGAGTTTTCAGGAAAGGGGGGGGCTAGGTTTATCTGCTAAGACAGACCCATAAAAGTTCCTCTTGTGAGCCCAAATGTGGTTAGAAGAAGAGGCATAGGGACAGTGCCAGAACAGTAGACACCTACAAACATGAGAAAAAAATCTTACATGACCTCTTATAAAGTAAATATATATTTATTTTTTTATTTAGCATAGGGAGCGTTAAAAGGTTAAACAGTAGCCAAAGAACTACTGCGTATTGAGTGCTCTATATTATGAAAGGGAAAAAGTTTTCATCCTCCCCACTGTTCAAGAAACATGGATAAAGCCAATTCACTCTGGCTTAAAGAATTCACAGATTTCGCTCTGACAGAACATATTCATTTTCCAAACACCCCTGAAAACTCTGCTTCTCAATAATGTATTCCCATCCCTAACGATGACACAGCTCCACATTTCTGATGAACATCCACATTTGCTTAGCATTGTTAATCCATTAGTAAAATACCAAAACCTTACTTCACATATAATTAAATACAGTTCCATGCTTGGCAACAGCAAGTAATTTTTACCCAAAACACATCTTGCTGCTTAAAAAAAAAGTTTTAATAAGGAAACTTAAAAGCTCCTTAAGCACTTACAAGTATTCAGAAAGACAAATAATGTTATTTTTAAGAAACACAAGTGCATATCTAATATATAGTCCAAGCATCTTTTGCTGATACAGCCTTACAATAGGCTTCCCCGTGTAACAAAGGAGAAGGCAGTGGAGCTCTCTTATTTGCTTGTGAATTGTTACAGTTTATGCCAGCAAAAGCTCTAGCAACAGTTTGAGCATTTTGTTTCTGAAAAATAATAAGCTGTAGCCCTTTTCTACTACTGTGATTACATCCATGCAAGGAAGGTTTGCCGACTTAACTTGCATGAATATCAGAGCCACTAAACTTTGTGCCATATACAAACGCTTGCTCTGATAATATACACCAAGATAACAAAAGGAAGTGACATTCTCTGGGATACAGCGCAGATGCAAAAAAGACCTTGCAAATTTTAGGCACCAGATGCATGCGAGCTGTTTCCTGTAACTTGGCCCGCAACACTGAAAACAGGTAAAGGAATGTTACATAAAGCCAACAAAACTGAGTAGGAAACAGAAGAATGGTTTGATTCAGTAAGTTCGTCCAGATCCTTCCTAACAGTAGACAGTTAACAAGAAAAGAGTTTCTCCAGAGAAAACAAGAACAAAATTCTTATTCCTCTTCTTTCCTGTAAGTTTTTTTTTTTTTTACACTACAGATATTTCAACTAATTTCAATATTTCAAATCCTGTTCCATTAATGCCTTTTTTTTAAATGTATTCTATGCCTAAGTCATAATAATGCACTGACACACATATTCTACTTTCAGTATTGGAGTCTTTGCATTAAAAAGTTCTTCCTTTATTTTATTCCCACTGATCTCTTCAAAACAATCCACTCAAAACAATGCACATATCAGCCTCTTATCCAATTTAAAAGCTGAACAGACTCCAGTCCCTACTCCACGACCTGTACTGTGACAAAAGATATGCAATAATGTAGGATTCACAAGAGGTAAAAATGCATCAACCAATCACTGCTGAGAAACAAATGACTAATGACAAAGTCAATTTAAAAAAAAAAAAAACATCTTAGCTATGCTGTTTCTTGTATAATGAACTATTTTTCAGTCCAGTGAATAAAGCTATAAAGCCAAACCTTGAAAAGCAGTCAAACAGTAAAATCATGACAGAAGTTACAGAAGATACAGAAGCCTTAATGTTAAAATGCAGTGCACCAACTCCTTGGGAATAAAAGGAGATTTATATATACACTTTTATACACACACAATTACAAGGACTAGAAACTACAAAGAGGAAGAGATCTCCCTTCTTCCAGCTAGAACAAAGGTGGCATCTCTTAAATGTACATTTAAACAAAACTTGCACTTGTAATGTCAGTGTGCTGCCAAACATGCGGAGATTCATATGTAAAAAAGGAAATGCATGTGTTTTTTTTTTTAAACAGTGTAATGATGTTCACAAAATGTGCACAACAGAGCAATGAGTAGTTTGTCCTGAAGTACATCCATGTGCCTCACCTGTGAACCTGCAGCTGCATTATTTATGAGATGATTGTTGGGATGAGAAATCCAGAATGTTGAAACCGCCCTGAAATATTATTCAGAAACAAGCTATTATTCAGAAGCTCTAGGTCCCTTACAGAAATTTCTTACCTTTCATAGCAAGCACATTAGAAAAAGCTAATCTGATGTCTAAATTCACTAGTTTACATATGAAGGAAAATCACAAAACCCCCACATGTAAGTAACCATGGAAATGCTTATTTTTTAGTTCAATACATAGTATTTTAAAACATTTCAAATACTCAGTGCAATGATAACCTGTTTTAGTAAGCTTCTACAAGAGATTAATGCTATGAAGAAAAACTAGTGGCAACAATTTGAGAATGTGAGGGTCTTTGCACAGAAATAAAGATGCAGTCCTAAAAGTCTTTTGAACATTTACCACAAGAAATAACAATCTTTCTACAAAACAACTTTTTTTTTTGCGTCTTTTATTAAAGGCTAGATACCAATTCTTTTTCTAAATAGTGCTGCTATGTGAATTACATTTAAGGTCTCTGTATTCATTAGCTTACACATAAAAATCTTCTCCTCTATATTGTCAAGAGACCCTCAGCAGTTTAACTACTGTAACCAGTTTGATTTTACTTTTTCACCATGAAATACTCACATGCAGTCTGTGGCTGGCACTGGGACATAACTTCCATACACTTTATCCCTAATGCCAATACACATGGTGCTGTTTCTATCTGTAGGAAGAAGAGTGCCTGGTTTGGTGACTAGTCCAAGGTTGTGGAACAGAGTATTCCTCTGTTCAATGCCATCTTCTATGAAGAAACAGTGACCTAGTGTGTCATAGCCAATGGTGTCCTTTATCTGCAGAAATACAAGTTCATTATGTCATTAGCAATAGCATTGACTGGGATTTATTTGACAAGGGCCATTTAGCTTTACTCTCTTGGCAGAGCTGCAAACAAAGCTTCAGGATCAGCAGTTCAGATGATTCAAACAAAGTTTTATTTATCCCTTGCAAACACACTACTACGCCTGGAGAGCTTAGCTGCCTGCAAGGATCTGAAAAAAAACAGAACAGCAAGATCCGTTAAAAAGTTACTGTTTGCACTTGTTTGTTTATTCATTGCCATAAAAAACATGCTGCTGATCATTTAAACTTGAAAGAAGGAGACTATTTTTGCTCTAAATGTTCTTTTTAACATTTATTTCAACATGGTATAGTTTTACTGTCCTGGCACCTACCAGCAAGCCATTAGTTGCATGAACAGTCACACATCTGGAGAAACAGTGATGAATGGAAAGACCTTCCAGATAAGTCTTAAAACTATAACTTCCTTTTTCATCCACATCCCCGCATAGGTGAAAGTGAACAGGGTAACTTCCAATCTGCTGCTGCCCCATTTGCTTCAGCTCCACATAGGAGAGATGAACAGATGTAAAATTCTTCAGAATCTAAAAACATAATGAGATGTCCAGAATGAATAACAAACTACTTACTTTTTAACCAGTGGAAATTTAAGCTAATACATCAGCTATTTCTGCCAGATATACACAGGTATCATGAGACAACACCAGAAAGGCTAGTTGGAACAATTGTTAGTTTCTTGTTCTAGATCTCATTTTACAAAACAGTACCCTTCATAAATAAGAGTAAAAGCAAAATCTACACATGGCTAAAACAGCAAATTTCACCAGACATCATATTGCTACATTATACTGTTTGGTCTTTACCAACTGATACTTTTTTTAAAATGTACAACCACATTCCATCCAGATAAATAGAAGTCATCCACGTAGGGCTCATCCACCATTAAGCTGTACCAATGTACCTAAACCAGTCCAGGACAGGCTTAATTGAACAGATTCACAGAACTCGAGAGGTTCAAAGGAACCTCTCAAGATCATCTGGTCCTATCGCTGGCTCAACAAAGGGTCAGCTTAGAGAAGCTTGCTCAGTGCATTGCCCAAGGAATACCTCTAACGATATAAATATGAATATGACAGCAATTGATTCCTCCCTCTTATTTTCCCAATATCTAACCAGAATTTGCCTTGCTGCCCCTTGGTTCCAATTGCCTCTTGCCCTATCACAGTGCACCTTCACAAAACACATCCATGTCTTCTTTGCCCAGGGAGCCCAAAACTGGGCACAACACTCCAGATGTGGTCTTGCAAGTGCCAAATAGAGGGGAAGAACTCTTCCCTGGACCTGCTGGCTGCACTTGTGCTAACACAGCACCCAAGATGCTGTTGGCCTTTCCCACAAGGGCACGTTGCTGCCTCATGGTCAACTTCTTGCATAAAAGGTCCTGGTAGACAAAGCTGCTCTCCAGTCAGTCAGCACCCTGCCCATGCAGTTGCATGGTGTTATTCCACCCCAGATGCAGGACTTCTGATGTTTACCTGCTACAGCAAGTGAGAAGATTGGTGAGGAGACAGGAACACACTGACTGATCAATCAGTCCAGCTGCCAAAACACTTGGTGTGCAGAACCCATGAGGAGCAGCGGGTCGTGACCCTTAGACTTGCGCCACATAGGCACCAGTCTGGACTTGTGTACACCTAAAGACTTATTGCTCCCCTTGTTATCCATAGCGCATGTGCAGTACCCCATACTGTAGCCTATTAATTCACCTTAAACCCAGACCCCCCGAACCTCGCCACGGGTCGATGCTCTGCGGTGCCTGGGACAGCCCGGTCACTTCCCCACAAGGTTCCCGGGGTTCCCCTTGCGGTTCAGGGATTTCAAGGTAATAAACATCCAATAACCTTGCTCCAGGAGGGTCTTCTACCCCTGCGTATTCCAAGTGTCAGTTAGTGCTGTTAACACTTGCCTTTGGTGAATTTCACGAGGTTCCTGCAGGCCCCTCTGAATAGTAGCCCCCTGGCAGTGAATCAACTGCTTCTTCCAATTCAATACCATCTGTGAGCTTGCTGAGGACATACTCCATCCCATTGTCCAGGTCTATTTAAATAAAGATGTTAAACAGCATTGGCCTCATAACTGAGGCCTGAGGGACACCGCTAGGAGGTAGCTAGCAGCTGACTGCTGATCAGAACCTTTTGAGCCCAACCCCTTACCAGATTTTTCACCCAACCTTATATAGGTGGGAATGCCAAGTGTTGATGCTTGAACTGAGAAACTGGAAACGCCAGAATTAACGAACAGCTCTCCTTCTAGGGTAATACCATTACTGCTGATATGGATGCTCTTTTAAATTAGAGCTCATGAAAGACATCTTTTAGCACCAAATTGAGGGAGAAAAAAATTCTCCATCAGAATTACCTCACATACCAAACCAGAAAATTACCCAGCTTCCTACATGGGGATCACCACACAATTCCAAAAAGCTGTAATTTCATACATGCTTTAAACCAATATAAGTGTGGGTCATCATTGAAAGAGATATTGCCTTCCACCAGCTTCTGCATTACCACTGCCTCCTTTTCAGTGCCAACTCACATTTATGTTGCTTCAAATGGATGCTAGAATTTGACCTCAAAAAGGAACTTCTTTGTTACAAAAGATATGAAATTGCCTTCAGAATTATGCACGGTAAAGCTACTAATAGAAAGTAAAAATATTAAGCACTGGAGACATTAAGATAATGGGGTTGTACCAATAATGGGGGAAAGCACAAATATGCTTTTTAATTCCATCTAACCTAATATGAAAAGAGAAAACAAATGCAACAGTGATGTGCAGGCAGCAAAACCAAAGGAGCTAAACTGGAAAAAAAATAAGTTTGTTATTAACTTACCTGCACTAGATATTTAACAAATATAATCATTTTCATACATACAGCTGAGTCCTCAAGGGAAGTTGGTAATATAATGGAGGACCATTTGGGGTTTTTAATCACATAGCTAAGGTTTGTGTGCTTAAAATGCAGATGGATGGTCAAATCCATACATTCCTTTGAGATCTGTCTCTTAACATTTAAGAGCACTAAAGAAGCAATAAAGCTATAAACTAATGCCTCATTACCCATTGCCACTAAATCTCCTTTATGCTACTGTCCCCATGACCAGTAGAAACCCCAGGCTGATTAGCAAATATTCATGGCCTCAGGGGTTTTAATGCCTAGCTCTCTCTGCTTGAGCACATAAGATTAAGAAAAGCTGAAAGTTGCCTTTAGTGCTAAAGTCTAGGTTTGGCAACAGACACCCAACAATTCTGAACAGGCTCCTGAAAACAGCTTAACAACTTTGATGACTCAAAGTGTTTGTTTTCTGTTCTATCTTCTAGCCATCTGACAGGCCTGCTGTACTCACCCTATTGTGACAACCAAGGTCATGCTTTGCAATAATCACAGTTTGCCCTTATCTGCTTTCATTACGTTATCTCAAACACAAAAGTATGCTTACAGCCCACTCTGCTTCCACAAAACAAAAGCGGCCACAAAAGGGAAAGGGCTTTCCCAGCATTATGTCCACCTCTAAAACTAAAACCTGCATGCCAATGTACTGTCAATAAGAGCTGATATACTTCTGTGCAATAATCTTAGTAGGTTTAAAAAAAAAAAAAAAAAGTGGTCCAACCCATATCTAGTCTCTTTCCTTTCCAGTGCCTGACTTCTTGAAGCATCTTGAGATGAGGCAGACTTCTAGGATTCAATGCTCATGACTTGGGGAGGGAGGAAAGGAGGAAAGGGAAAGACGACTGAGAAGAGGGAAATCAAATTTTATTCTATAACGTTACACACTGAACACGTAGGGAAGTCGCTTGTAAGTTTTAAGTGCTGCCAAACAAAGTTATAATATATTATAAGTATGCTTCTCCAACATTTAAAGCACTGATACCCTCTTGCCCCAATTCTGCAGTCTAAGTCTAGTTAGTTGTATCTAACTTTGGGAAAGCTGAAAAGGGAGTCTTTTAGGCAAAGCAGCTATATGAATTGATGTTCTCTAAATTTTCAAATCCCTCCAAGTTCAGCATTAATCCTTTTGTACTCAATATACCATTAGATTACAGAAAGCTACTTAAAAGTGTTTTTCATACCTTGATATGTCCACCAAACGTATCATAACTGAAAAACTGACACTCCTTTTCACGATAGCATGTATTTTCTGTCTTTCCCTTGATTAAGATGTTCCTTGTAAGGACTCCAACTTCTGCTCTCATGTCCACTCCATCAATAACCTCTCCCACATGAGGAAATTGAGGATTTTCTGTCCAAAAACAATTTTGAATTAAAAAAAAAAAGTGAAAAAAGTTGTCATTGATTAAAAACAAAACTAGTTATTTTATATAGGAAAACTATTTTTAGCACCAAAACTCACGTTCTGATACCTTAACAAGCTTTTAAAAGTTCTCAGCTTTTCTTATGCTAAGGCACACAAAGGCTGTAACTGGCAGATGATAAACATTAAGCAAGCACAAACCAAGCCAACTCCCCTTTTCCAGATGTGGTTGATTCAGTGATACTTGAGCACCTTACAGTGTGAGGAATCAAATATGCTACTGCATGTTTTATTCCAAAACAAGGTGATGTATACATATTTTTCATTTTACTAAAAGGACCAAGACCTCTCAATTTTTGTCATTCCTAAAACAACTCCCAATATTTTATTTGCAAGTGAATCTTAATCTCAACCTAATAGTTTGTAAACAGAATGGAGACAAATATATTTATCTAAAGATAGGCTTAAGTGAATCCAAAGTATCTAGAAAGGTTTTAATGGAACAAACAGATGCACAGAACACTGGCTGCCTAATCTGTTCCAAAGCAAAATTAAGACCTAAAAATGAAGCCAAATGCCTTTAGAAAATTCTACATTCACCCTCTCCAAAACAAAATACCATTTGCTTTCCTGACTAAATTTGTCTATACAAACTGAGAATATGATCTAGTTTAGTAAACCTTTAAAAAAAATTAAATTTCTTTTAAGTAATTTTCTCCTTTGTTTTTCCATTTATCATTTCCCTGAAATGTCACTGTCGCTACCCTTTCAAAGTTGTCTCAGAATCTTACAGAAGGATACAAGCTAAACTTTTATACCATAATGTGAAGCAGAAGCAGACCAGGACTTTGCTCCTAGCAAAATAAATGCTGTAGCTGTTCAGGGTGGAGGAAGGGGGGGGGGGAACCACACACACACAAAAACACCCCCCACCCACACACACCACAAAACAAAACAAACCACCAAAAAAAACCACCCACAAAACAAAAAACCCTTAGTTGCCCTAAATTTCTGTATTTCTGTATCTTGCTAAGAATTAGATGGGATAACAAAAGCTGTAAATGGGACTGTACTCCTCTTCTTGAAGACTTACCTATTGTTCTTCCCATATTTGAATAGCACACACATATCAAGTGAGGAGACAGCAATTAGGCCTCCTATAAAATAATACACTTCATTTTTTGTTTTCCAACTGCAAAAGGGCAAAAAGAGAAAAAAAATATTTCAAAAAATTTCAAATCATTTCAAAAGATGACGAGTTCTTCATCATGTCAAATTTGCCATTCCATAGAAAATTCATTCTTTGTAGAATAAATATATGGGGTTTTTTGGGTTTTTTTTGTTTTTTTTTTTAAACTGCTTCCATTACTATGAAAAAGGAGACTTAATAATATTGGGTTGGGGGAGGAAATAAACACTATGGGCCAATTCATCTCCTTTAACATCTTTTAACAATCTAGGTACAGTTCTGGTAGCATTTATTTTCACAAAACATGAAATTTTGTATTTTATGCCATATTGTAAATCTTGTTAAAATTTTTTTTTTCCACAGATTCTTTAATAGCAGCTGCTTTCTTATGGTACACTGTTTCCAAGATGAAACAGAATTTGCATATATTCTACTCAGCGGTGACAGAAAATCTTCTCAAACTTCATACTGCAAGCTTGCACCTTAAAATATCGAGTTCAATAACACACATGAGGTGAGAAAATTAAGAACAAAACCCAGGATGTTACTGGCACTAAGTCAGCTCTGCGTTTTCATGCACGCTGGTATTCTCTGATGTCTAATAAGGTATATTTATATAAGCTTTTTTCTTGTCTAGGACTTCACAGTGCAGTAGAACATATCTTACAAGAGCTAATGAATGCTGTGGGAAGCGAACAATGCTGCAAAGCGGACATATAAATGGGTAGTCCCAGAAGGCATAGGGGAACAGGAAAGTTTGAGGGCACATACAGTAAAGCTCTGGGAACCAAGAAGCAGAAGATAAAGAGTTGTTTGAAGAAGAGGAAGTCACACATTACAGAGGTGAATGGAACAAACCCAAATCTGGAGGAGCATCATGGCTGATACAGGAGTTGTCTGCCAAGCTGCAGCTAACCCTGCAGACCACCAGAAGAGAGCGATACAGAAAGCTCAAGCTTTGAGGCTGACAGACCTTGTTGGGAGGAAGCTGTTGGGTTGGCATGGAGGGAGAGCAGGGTGGCAGGAGGAAAACAGATGTCTGCACAGCCAAGGAGTCAATCCCACAGGAGGCCCTCATGAAGTCAAACAGCATGAGTCAGAGAGTGAAAAGGGAAATGGGCAACAACATGTACAATCATTTTGTGCGCGTTATGCCCAAAGAAAAAACAGATTACAGCTAGCCTGAGATATCCTGTGCAGGCACAGGCTTAGAGCTGCCAGTTATTTTCATAACCATTTTACCAAGGGGGGGTGGCGCAGATGTGAAAATTGAGGAAGAGAAAAGACAGTTTCAAAGACTGCCATTTTCTCTTTCCCCCCACTTTTTCCCTTCCTCCTTCCCCCCCTCCTTTTTTCTTTTTCCTTTTGCTTCCTTTCCTTTCCTTTTTCCCTTTTATAAAAGCAGAAAACATATAATGACAAGCTTTGGAAGATGGGAAGGGCACTAGAGGCAAAGGAAACGGTAATGACCAAAACAACAATCCAAACACATATAAAGACAACTAGTGAAATGACAGAGAGCAGTCAAGAAGAGAAAACAAACATAATTCATTCTTGAATGAAAACTAAAGCATTAACTGAGCCTAGGAAGAAAGGCAAAAGAAAGGTTAGTATGGTAAGCGTTAGAGGTCAGAGGCACATCCGACATTATACAGGGCAATTTTATAGTAAGAGGCAGTATACATTTCTGTATATGGCAACAGGGCAAGACAGAGACATTAACAGGCTGTTACTGCTCCTGCTG